GTGAAGGTTAGTTATCCCCCCCCCCCGGAATAAGCATTCATAGGTGTGGCTCTTTGGACAATTTCGCTTTTTGCTCTGTCCTTCCTTGCATATTCTTGGAAGAAGAAAGCAGTGGGCTCAGCTCCCTTGGCACTCACTTGTTCTACATTATTGTTCTACATTATATGTCTTTTTAGCCCCACCTACTGCCTCTTGAAGGGACGCGGGTGGCGCTGTGGGTTAAAGCACAGAGCCTAGGACTTGCCGATCAGAAGGTTGGCGGTTCGAATCCCCGCAACGGGGTGAGCTCCCATTGCTCAGTCCCTGCTCCTGCCAACCTAACAGTTCGAAAGCACCTCAAAGTGCAAGTAGATAAATAGGTACCGCTCCGGTGGGAAGGTAAACGGCGTTTCAGTGCGCTGCTCCGGTTCGCCAGAAGCGGTTTAGTCATGCTGGCCACATGACCCGGAAGCTGTATGCCGGTTCCCTTGGCCAATAAAGCGAGATGAGCGCCGCAACCCCAGAGTCGGCCACGACTGGACCTAACGGTCAGGGGTCCCTTTACTTTTTTACTGCCTCTTGAAAGAGGCAAGGACGGATAGCCTGCCCTAGGCTACTCAGAGTTACCAAAGGAAGACTTCATGGCTGACTGCTACCCTGGCTGTCAAATTTCCTTATTATAGTTAGTTGAAAGCTGACCAGATAGTTTCACAGAAGCCAGCATGAATGGAGGTTTGAGTTTTTTAAAAAGATTTTGTTAATTCCAAGAAAGGGCTCAGAAGCTTACTGAATATTCTAAACAAGGAATTCTTATCACTTGTCAAATTCTACTGCTAAGCTAGGGTTGCCATATTTCAGAAAGTGAAAGTCCAGATGCAAAAGTTGTTGAGCTTTTGAATGCAAAATTGTTGAGCTCTAAACCCTGAGGTTTTAGAGCTATTTTTCCCAGAAATCGCCGCTTCCAATATGGGTTGTCATACATCCAGATTTTCCCGGACATTTCAGCGATTTCCACCCGCACGCTGTTTCCGATGGCTGAATCCCAGGCATGTCCGGGAAATTGCAGACGTATGGCAACCTCGCTCAGCTGATGCTATCTCCCTGCCGCCAACTTAGTTGTTAAGGAAAAAGCTTCCCTCAGAATTAAATTGAGAGAAAGAGAGAGCGGGATGGGGTGGGGTGGTGCGAGAGTGCCTTCAACCTAATTTGGAAGTTGGCACTCGCATTTCAAGGAAAATCTCCCCAGCTACCACTTCTGAACTAACAGCATCAGAAAAAGAAATCTGTATCCGTTCCAAGAGGGACGTACACACTTTCGGTCATCTAGAGTTAATGCGGAGAAGTAGCATTTATATAATGCCTTTTGTTCTTTCCAAAAGGCCATTCTGAGACAGCTAGAAGGCAATCCCTTTACTCACCACCGCTGCAGTGTAGTATCCTCCGATACCAAACATGGCAATTCTGCTGGGGCACAAAATATGATTTCGTAAGATGGAATGATGAGTGCATAACGAAGAACTTGGAAAAAGAGGTTGCAGTTGTGAGAAACTTTATGAGAGAGATAAGGAGGGAACCTTTCAGAATAGAAAGCTAAGGTGTTTAAAGTAGTCACCAGTTTGCTTCTCCATTTCAACACCAGTTCGTTGGTGCTGGTTGAAGCAGGATGGCTTGCAGATATCCCTTGTCCACATATACATTGTAAAAAAAAAAGTTGGTTGTCTCTCTCATGTTGTCGGCAGTGATCTGTTTTCTGTACAGTGGTACCTCGGGTTACATACGCTTCAGGTTACAGACTCCGCTAACCCAGAAATAGTGCCTCGGGTTAAGAACTTTGCTTCAGGATGAGAACAGAAATCGCACGATGGCGGCGCGGTGGTAGCAGGAGGCCCCATTAGCTAAAGTGGTCTTCAGGTTAAGAACAGTTTCAGGTTAAGAACGGACCTCCGGAACGAATTAAGTACTTAACCCGAGGTACCACTGTATCTGTTGTTGAGCATCCTGTAGCTTAAGCCTGCTTGCCTTTCATCTTATATACCTCCTGGTTGTATTTGTTATTCTACCTGAGTAAATATGTGGGGTTTAAAAAAAAAAATGGAGAAGAATGGTGTGCACCAGCCCAGCTGGGAAATGTAAGAAAAGGCAGGTATCAGTGTGCTCAGAGGAACTCAGATTCGCAGAAATACTTTGAAAACAAACAAACAATGTAAGGGAGCAAACAAACAAAACCAAACCCAAGTGGTCTAAAAATTCTATGAAACATTAGTGGCTTAAAATGCAGTTGGTAATCCGCCCCCCTCAATTCAGATTGCAGCTGTTTTGGGGAAAATGCATCAAAACCCAGTACAGTGGTACCTCAAGTTAAGTACTTAATTCATTCTGTAGGTTGTTCTTAACCTGAAACTGTTCTTAACCTGAAGCACCACTTTAGCTAATGGGGCCTCCTGCTGCCGCCGCACCGCCTGAGCACGATTTCTGTTCTCATCCTGAAGCAAAGTTCTTTACCCGAGGTACTATTTCAGGTACTATTTCTGGGTTAGCGGAGTCTGTAACCTGAAGCGTATGTAACCCGAGGTACCACTGTATTTCGTAAGAGTTCGTAGGATAGATATGGATTGTGGCTAATGTCAAGTGTATTCTGTTTCCCAAACTAACAGTGTGAGCACACCGAATGCAGAGAAAATGGATGTGTGTTCACAGCCTAAATCTAGAACGAGCTTCTGATGTGTGGTATAAAGAGTCTGCATGCCTGGATATGGCATTAGAAGTTTGAAAAATGCCCAACAGAATGACTGCAGGGGAGGTTTCATAGTCACCAAACACTCAGTCAAATACAGCTACAGCCCAACAGTTTCAGTGAACACTGCAGATCCAAAGACAGTGTTTGTTCTCCTGTGTTCCCTAACTCCAGAGTCTGTTTATAATTATCCAATCTGACCCATGACATCCTCCCAGAGAGGGTCATTTTAAAGATATTACCAAGTGGGAAGGGCATGCAAGCTGAAATCTTTTGCTTATGAGCCAAGCTGCCCAATATAGCATGGAGCATCTATTCATGGATGTGTGTGTGTGTGTGTGTGTGTGTGTGTGCGCGCGCGCGTAAAATGGTGAGTTGCAGGAATCGAGAAATATACTCCCTGGGATTTTCAGAAGGGATTGGGTCAGTTCCCAGATTTTGTTCAGAATAAAGCACCCAATTCCCAGCAATGATTATGCCCTGCTCGTGACAGTGTAAAGCTATATCAAAAACTGGGAGGTAGCCAGCCAGGTGGGACATAAATGCAGATTTAGGGCACCAGAAAGAGTATAGAATGGGGTCCCCCTAAGTGACAGGTTCCCACTTTTTGGCTAGTGAAGCTGCAAAATGAATTGTGAAAAGGACAACCCTGCTAAAATGAGAACAGGAATCTCGAGGGACTGAGGACTTCCAAGTTCCTGTGACTCTTGTGCTGTTCTTCTACCGCTGTGTCCTGCAAATGAGCTGGATTCCCAGGGACGAGGGGCCTCTGCCAACGCTCCAATGCCTCTTAAAGCTTTTGCAGCTGTTTAAAAATAGCCCCCATGTACTGGAAAATGTGATGGATGCTTTCCCTCCTGTTATGTGGCTCATGGCCGGGGTTGAATTAACAGGACTCTTGGTCTCTCTTTTTTAATACATTTATGGGCCTCTCTGGACTGAGTTGGTTTGAACTGGGGTTCACCAGGTCTGAATCCCCAGAGCTTCTCAAGTGACAGGGATCAACCCACAAACATCTGAAGCAAGTTATTCATGTGTTTGCACTGATATATGCCCAGGCTTGGGGAAATATTTCCAATTTCTCGTATCAAATTTTTAGGAGCATAGGCATTTAAGAACCTGGGTTTTTCCAAGCCCTGGGTGTTCCAGATTATGAAATAGCTGCTTTCAGTGTTTTTGATCTTGCTGCTTGCATTCTAAAGGGAAATTGTGGGAAATATGCATCCTATAGATGGTCCTCACTCAGCCAAGGGAAATTACTTGAGATCCCTGCTGGGATCTTCCACGTACAAAGCATGTAAGGGAGATTGTTTTGGGTGGCATCATCATCACAATTGCTGTCACTATTTCATTTGAAAATTGTTGTGTGGATTAATTAGGAGCTCCAGTGATGATTAGGTTTAGTGACCTGTTTTTCAATTTCATACTTAATAATTGAATTACAATACTGTTACTGGATAAACATAATTATATGATTGCAATGGGCAGCGGCCAATATTGAAAAATGAATTTATCATGCTAATACCCTGCTGCAATAAATATACATTTAGCTACTGACACAGTGCAGGCTGAACGGTCTGTGGTTTGTCAGGTTAAGCTTCCTCCTCCTTTAATTTCTCACAAATACCTTGAAGGCTTGAGGCAGGTGTTAACTTTCCCCCCCAGAGAGTTGAAGGGTCTAGTATGTAGACCAGATGGTTAACTGCACTTGCAAGTTTTCTTTTAACAAATCAAGGTATTGCCCTAATATGGGAATTTAGAATTTCTCTTGCGGGCTAATAAAATCGACCTTTTCCTTTTAAAAAACCAAACAAACACAAACCTGTTTGAGCATGGAAACAAATGTGAGGGGGGAAAGAAATAGTGTTTGTTTGTGTGTCTGTGTATCATGGGAAGTGATGCTTCTCTCAAAATCACTTTGAGATGTCTTAAGAACAGTTATTTGTCTTCAGCACTCTAAAGTATTTAATACTTGTTAAGAAGAGGAAGTTGCAATATCTGATGAGAAGTGGGCCCTTGAAGGTTGGGAAGCTCGCTTTCTTTCTTTCTTTCTTTCTTTCTTTCTTTCTTTCTTTCTTTCTTTTCCTTGACCAAAGTTTTCCTCGTAATAACCCCTGGATCTGCGGTTTTCGGATTCCTCACACCTGCTTTTTCTTTCGCCGCTTTCCTCTCCATCATGTCCAGTAATGGATTGTAGGAAGGGGGCGTGTTTGCTGTTTGAAAGCTGTGCTCCTCCTAGCTGCAATACAGAATGGAAGAGAGAGAGAGGGGAGGGAGGGAGAGAGGGAGACGGGAGCAGGAAGGGATGTGAGGCAAGGTTGCCTGAGGATTTTTACAACCTCGAGCTGCCTAGGCAGGCAGGCAGCAAAAAGAGCAGGCGTGTGACAGGAGCCAGGCAACTGTCTCTAAAGCCCCGGGAGGGAGACGGCCGGGAATAGTTGCAGTGGCATTCTCCAACCATTGTGCCTGCAGTGAGCCACCAAGCATGTCTGGGACACTCTACTTTTGTCTCTTCTGCCTCAGCCTCCACCTCCTAGGGAGTTCAGCCTTCAACCTGGATGTCACCGAAACCATCCTCAAGTATGGAGAAAACGGCAGCTTCTTTGGCTTCTCAGTGGCATTGCACCAGCAGCTCAGACCACAGCCTGTCAGCTGGTGAGTTCTGTGCCGTGCATGACGGTGCCTTATTCTGATTTTTCCTCCTCTCTCTCTCTCTCTCTCCATATGGCAAGTCCGAAAGGTGAGTGTGAGGATTTGCGCGCGTGCACACACAAGGAAGATGAGGCACTGAAGTCTCTCCCGAGCCATCAAACTTGCCAGGTGGTCTTCCGAATTTGGCGCGTCGGTTTTAAGCACCGAAACTCTGTATGTGGGTGTGAATTAAATAATCTCTGCTTCGTTCTCTATTAGAATTAAAAAGTATGTCCATTGTGTCTTCCACTTTGGGACCGAAATATGTGGATTGTGTGATCTGTAATACTTCCTTTGCTGCTGCTGAGTTATTTACAAGGTGTTCTTTCCCTGCACTGTGCTTTGGTTGTAGTTGGGATTTGTGGAAGGTGCTGATGTTGGGGGAAATTGTTTCTTCTGCCCCTGGAGTGGGTGGTGGTGTTTTTTTTTTTTAAAGAAAGCATAAATTCCATTCTTATTATGCTTTTATAGTACATTGTTTGCAGGGTGGAAATGTGGACACACACAGACCCTCATTACATTCTCCACTGCCCAACCCTAAATATTTATAATATTTCTTTAGAGGGAAGGGAATCTTTGACCTGCAGCATTAGTTGCCAGACTTTGTATTACTGTGTTGCTAACTATTGTCTTGACAAACCTTTTCCCTACAGCCTCCCCACCCCCCACTGAACACACCCCTCTGAATTTCACTAATGAACCAGCTGGCATATTTTGAAATGTTTTGTTTGTCCATGTGTGTGAGCTGTTTTCTGGAATGCACCCTGATTTTTTTTTCCCCTGCTGCTGCTGTTTCTGCTACTGCATCCTGGCGGAGATATGAAAGGTCAAATTCTGATCAGTTTCCAAAGATGAATGCAGACTCATTCAGTGATTGTGCAGCTTGATCATTGCTGAATGTGGTTCTCCGTTTTCCAGGGATGAAATTCACAGCCAGCCACTGATTGCCACAAGGCTAGGGATGGATTCTGATCGTAGTAGCATCTTAATTTTCTCTAGGGTAAATGCAAGATCACTATACTGAACTGAAGCTTGTGGAGCTTCACAGGCATTCCTGTATCCCCGCCCTCACGGCCATGCCTTGTAGTATATGGGAGTCGCATAATTTCGAACGGACAGAAAGCTGGCCATGTGGCGAATGGTCAGGCGAGGAAAACCAGGGTGTGGACATATTAACCTCTCATCATGGTGGTTTTGCAAATGCATTAGGAAGGCTTGGCTGGCAGCATCACTATGAGGCCTGTGGTCCCAAAAGACCGGGGTGGGATTATCTGCCTTTAATCTGGAGGAGTGGGGGAATTCTGGTGGCTTGCTTTTAAGTGTTTGATTTCTCCTGTGTTTTGCTGCGATGGCGATGCTGTAATCTAGGAGTGGTCTGCCCTCTAGCCCTGCCCTGAGGGTACCACGCAGCATGAAGCTCCTAATTGCTCTGAATGTGCTCCTAAAACCCTCTTCTTCAATAGGCAGCCTATAGGCCACAACAGACCTCCTGAGCCGCTTTGGCAGATCCTTTGCCTGTCTGCGTCTTCCATTCACCCTTCCATTCACCCTGAATACTTTTCCTGTTGCTCAGAGCCTAGCTACCTTGTTTTCATAGGATAATTGTGATTGTATAGTGTCTTAAAGAAACATTGCACCCAGGACTGCGGCACCAGCAACAACAGCAATTGCCTAGGTCTTGGTCCCAGGTCAGCATCTGGGCTGGCTAATCCCACAATTTGAGTAACGTTCTCTTAAGCCTAGCTTCCTCTGTAAACTCCCATAATTGATTTTGGAGCCACTCAAAGCCAGGGCCAGTCCAATGCATTTTGCCACCTGAGATGAAGGATGAGATGGTGCACCACCCCCAACACACACAACTTCAAGCACAAAAGCAAACTGGATGAGCCGTTGAATATTACTTCACATTGGTGATGGTACAGTGTCCACTTAAGAATGGCTGGCTCGTTTCGTTTTGCATTGCTTGGAGCCTCTCTTCAATACACGATCCTGGGCTGCAGAGAAAGAAGCTAGTTCTACTGCTGCCATTTAACGGTATGGTCCAGTGGCAAGGGAACTTGAGCACTTGAATGCCTTGTTTCAAGCCCTTCTTGTTTCATGAATCCATTCATTTGCCTTAAGCATCAGTTCTCCATCTGTAAAATGGGAATAATAATATCTGGATCATGAAAGCAAACCAAGTGCAGACTACAGAGGGCTCAGCAGACTAAAGTGCATCATAAATGATTGTTCCTTATCAAAGTAATATTTATTTACCTGGAGCTCAGAGAGGCTTACGTAGGTCTCCCAGATAACTTCCCATCCAGGCAGCTCATGCAACCAAATATTTGGGCCCTCCAGACAACCTGTTTATTTGCTTGCACAAAGCTTATGTGGTCGTTATAATATATCTAGTCTTTATTGGGCAAGTTCTGATTTATTTGCAGGGTGGTTAAATGGCAATGAGCCTTCACCCTGATTTTCTTGTGGGGCATTTGCATGCCTCTATGTTAATCATTTGCTTACCCACCACTTTTCATTGCATTTCCCTGTCACTTTCCTTCCTGCAGAAAATCCTTTTTTTTTCCTCCAAAGAAGCCCTTTGAATGTACAACCCCAAAGTTCCTGTGTACTTTTGAATTTCTCCTGCAAAATGTCATTATTCTGGAGGCATCCCTACTTAACTTCAGCTGTAGAACATTATACAGCCTTCAGGCTGTAGCACCAACAGTGTGGTAGAAGACAGGAAAGGAAATGATTATTTTCTAGCAGGGAGAATGGTACTTGAGCCCTGGTTCTCAAAGACTGTGTCTGCAGTTGAGGACTTGTGTGTATCCAGTGTGTATGGGATTTATCAGGCTCCTGCCATCCTTGCTATGATTCACACCTCCCATTTTTCCATCTACACTGTGGGCAGAGCCAAGTGCAACCAGCGGCAATGTTGACGTTGAGTTCTCCTGTGCCATGTTCATGCTTAAATGGGAACATACCATGGGGATTCTGTTTCTCTTGCAGGAGCGCAGAGACTCTGCAAGTGCAGCCCTAATTAAATTACGAGCTTATAGAATTCCACTGGCCACACTTGCTATGGCATGTCCTCCCTGAAACAACCAAGCCCAGAAAGCATAACAATCCTTAGCCGCCTTCTTGCAGCCGAGACTTCCACATTCCTGAGGCTGTCCAAGCACCTTGGAAGCACAACAGACCAGGGACCAACCCCAGCCCTCCTCTTGAGCTTGAAGGCTTGGGGAGGGGAGCGTTATTCCAGCAGTTGTACTGTGCTTCACAGGTGCTCAGAGGGCTTCAGCACAACTGTAGGGATTTCCCCCCATCTTTTCACCAGCTGCACAGTTGAGAGAAGGGCTGGGGCTTGTTCTGTGTAACACAGCTGCAGGAATAGTCTCCCAGGCCCCACCCCTCTGCTTCAAATTTGAGAGGAGGACTCAACTCCTCATCATAACTGTCAACCGTCCCTTATTTGGCGGGAAAGTTCCTTATCCCAGCGCCGTGTTCCACTGCTGTCCCTTATTGATGATGTCCCTTAAATTTCCTGGGTTTCAAAGGAAGCAGTTCCTCTCCCTCCCTCCCTGCTGGCCAGGGAGGAGGGAGGCTCCAACTGTGTTGCTTGGCTGCGTTGCTTACCCAATAAGGAGTCTAAGAATGACTGGGGGTGGAGCTTGCATGCCTTGTGCCGATCAAATCGGCCGCGTTGCCTGGGGTCTTGCCTTTGCTCAGCGCTTCCCAGCGGAGAGGTGACGGTGATTTTCCTTGCTGCATCCCCTTTGCCGGGTTGCTGCACTGTGGGAACCACCGCTTGAGGCTTCGTTTGGCTGCTGGCTGGGCTTTCTGCCTTTGGCTTGGAGGGGCTCAGAAGTTGAACATACCTGTGCTCTGAAAATCCCTTATTTTGGCTGCTGATCCCTTATTTCTGAGGCTGCTGGTCCCTTATTTTCAAATTTGTAAGTTGACAGCTATGCTTCTCATGTACTGGTGCTGTACTTCTGCGACGCTCATAGAAATTTGCTGGCGGAGCATGAGAGAAACAAGTACCAACCCTTCTGCTGCACTTGGGTTTGAAGTGGGTGTGGATTCCCTCTGACCTCAAGCTGACATTGATGAGTTCAGTGTGAAATCAGGGACCAGGCCCTGCCTGCTCCCTGGTACCTACAAAGGTTTGCTTGGCTATGAGTTATGAACAGGGCTGACATGGCCTCATTCTTGAGTGCCACTCTCTAGACAAGGCATGAGGAACCTCAGCCCAAACACAATCCTCAGAGTCTCTCTGTCGGACCCTTGGAACTCCTTCCCAGACCATGCCTTCTACCCATGCTTAACTCCACATCGGTCCTTCTTCACACACTCCTCAAGTGCTTTAACTTGGCTGGAAAGTGACTTTGAACTTCAATGATACTTCTTGCATGACTGTACATGTATGTGTGTGCAGGTACTCCACCCAAGTCCCTAAGATGGTTGGATGGTGTCTTGTATGCCTCCTCCTGGCAACTCCTGCAGCCAAGCTGGTGCCAAACGTATTGCTCTGCTTTCCTTTGGACCACATCAGCGAGGCTTGGGGGGCGGCGGTCTTGCCATCTGGGCAGCCCAGGACCTCCATCCACGCTGTCCAGGCTTGCACCCCAGGGAGGTCACTTTGGCACTGCTAATACAGTGGTTTGACTTCATCTCCGAAGGCACACTCCATTGTTTCTCGAGACAAATGGATGTCAACAGCAATGTACAAAATCCATTACAGCGTGATATAACGTTAAACTATGGACTCTTGCAACTGGAAAACATTGCTTTTTCTTAGAATGGAAAGTGCAGCCAAACTTTAAAAAAACCATATCTTGATTAATATTTGGTAGAATTGCAAGAAGCCAGACAAAATTGCTTTGGGGGCCAGTTCCGGCTCACACACCATCCATCATTGCAGTCTAAGAAGATCCCTAAGGGAGACACAGGCAGCTTCTAGGGAAGTTATGAGCTCC